ACCTTTAGACAGCGTATTTAATATTAACTGAACGGCTAAGCTCAGATAACCGCTAAGCTTGAGGGTTACCGGGACGCTGCCCGCTGCCTTTAGCGCCATTCAAAAGCAATGTCGTACCTCAGTCAATTCTCGCGTCTCAATTTTACGATCTGAGTAGATTCGAAGCATAAATGTCGTTTGTTCCTTCGGAGCAAACGTTGTAGGTACGGCAATATATCTACCGGCAGGAACAACCCGTAGATGCAGGAAAACCGAACGGGCACCAGCATAATCGGATATACCAAATGGAGTCATTGCCTTAAAAAATATGGATTTGCATCAGTTATACAACACCATATGCACACTCTAGTGATAATGTGTAACCAAAAAGATATCTTTAATATGAGACAACGGAACATTATGCAAGATACTATCCACAAAATTGCTACATGCTTCCTCTTACCTTATTTTACTTTGTAATAGATCAGATGTACTGAGATTACGAAGGAAAATTTTGCAACTAAACCACGATCGCAGGAAAAACTTGATAATTAGCATAAGTATAAGAAAGTGATGCACTACTGAATTTTAACACAAAAGGAAATGTCTAAAGGAAGGGAACGAAACAATTGGCACGGCACAGCACAGCACATAATAAGTCACCTTTCTGTCTTGAGTAACATTAGCTATTCAGTTTCTGCGACCTCATGCTGAATGTAGACATAAAATTCAATAAAGACCTGGTTGTATATGCTGCGGCATGAAAAACCAACTTTTGGAGGCACAAATGAAACCAAGTTTTTGCGAACAGCGGCTTTGGTGTGATCGTTGATTTCTCTTAACACAAAAAGGGTCCCCTATACGGCATAGAAGTAGAATGCGGCGTCCGCTGTTCTCTATGTATACTCGCTTGCCAAAAATTTACGATAAACTATACCCAAGTGAAAACACCTAGGAATTACCGTGTAGATAATCCAACTCACTTGATGTATTCGATGTGAACGATTATTTTCCACCTTCATCACGTGTATTCCGATGGTTACATATGGATCTCTACGTTTCGAGCCCTCATTGGGTTCTCGCTGCGTTAGTGCAAACATAATCTCTGCTGGTTGATACACATTCAATAAGAACTGAAAGAAGACTGTTGGGCTGGAAGATTGGAAAGTAATAAACACTGCAGGAAATTCAGTGTTCAAGGTGATCACTCAGTCAGTCAAAGATCATGTGTAGAGGCAGGGCAAACCTGTGGATTATTGCAGAACGTAGGAAAATTGAAGCAGCCACCCGCAAGGTAATCTGGAGCACCACGCTTTACGCCATTAGTGGTCCATTCACCATAATATATGGCTTCATGGTATCTGTACGTTAAGAATGCTTGAAAATACTTTCGAGGCAGAGACACTACAAAATACATGAAAAATTAGCAAGCCATAAGAATACCTCCGCGATGTTGAGACTATCCGTGTGTTGAACAGCTGACATATGGAAATATCGGTAAAATATTGTACAAAAGAATACCAAGGCATCCTGCAATTCTCCTTCTTATTGTATTTTCAAGAAGTATGTGTTATATGCCTTCTTTAATATACTCAAACTGCGCTAACGATGGTTTCAAATAAAAAAAAACAATCTGTACTACAAAGTTTTGTAGCATTATCAAACCGCAGCACAGAGCAATATTACTACGATGCTTGTCTAAATGGGTAAGTCTGTGTGAATCATAACGTAGAATACACCGATTATAACCAGCGCTGCTGAAGCCCCTTCAGACTACGCCACTGTAGCGGCGCAGTCTGAAGGAACCCTAAGGGTGCCTCTGCCCGGGGCAATCAGTATGGGTCCAAAACTTGGCATGAAATCGGTTATTTGTGCTACATGCGCGCACGTACAGGTTATTGAACAGAAACAAGCTCAGATTAAAGGGAACGAAGGAACAGAGCTCGCAGCGTAAGCAAGACCATGGCAATGTGGAGGCGCATAATGCTAGTTTTCGACTGATCCCAGTTGGAACAAAGTAAATTGCTTCAACAAAGTGTATGTCATTTGTTGTTGAACTGACAGCTTGCAAACAACATGAATGTTCAAAGTTAATGATAATGATTCTGCGCATACGCCAACGACCGAAAAACAGAATATTTAAAAAAAAAACAGAAAATCTGCAAAAAATGTGAAACAAAGGACTTGACTTACCAAAAGTCACCATCCTCTGCCTTAGTGATACCAAGGGAAATCTGTTGAGAGACTGTCACCTGAACCACTTCGTTTAGAACACTTCGACATCAAGCAAGTGGATTGACTTACTTGCTCCCATTCTTTGCTATCGTCGCTCCAAGGGCCGTTCCATTCTTTTTCACCCCAAGGATTTTGCAGGCGGATCATTCTGACTCGATCGTGATGGCCAAATAAAGCGCTAGAACTAGCATCATTGTGTATAAAGAAGCAAGAAGAGGGTACTACCACAGATACAAAACCAACCGAAATGCACTTGAATTTGCATCCAGCTCCACATATTTGACAGCAGTCACAGCATATGCATGTCCCTTGACTAAGCCGCAAGATAACGTTTGCTCAATTTCATCCTTGGTATTCGCCTTAAATATGACCAATGAGATGATGCAGATTACCAAAACGAGCATTTCTTGGTAACAGAAGTAATAATCCGAATTAAACGATACACGGCGAATAGAACAACCGCAATTGCAGCGACTATTAGCGCCTCGTTGTCGAAAGCTTCCTTCAAGTTGTTGAAGAGATGGTCTGGAGCGTCAGCACCTTCCTGAAACTATTACTCTACAAAAGAAGAAAACTTCTTTGTGTATATGAAGACCAGCTGTACTTGATACCACATTTTAGATGTATTACCCAAAATACATTTGATTTGTTTAATATCTCACTAACAACACACATATTTTCTCCAAACTTGTCCTACGAAGAACTGATGAAATCACAAATTCTACAGCTCAGCCTTACTTAAATAAACTATGCGGAGGAGAGATCGCCTCGTTAGGCACAGCGTCAAAAGTACCCCCTGTATCCTTGACATTGAGGTAAACATCATATTTGAATTTTTAGCAGCAAGTAAAGTAACTCGTTGCATCACGCAACAATCAACAAGTCAAGGAATAGGTCACTATGAAATAGTAAAACGTAGAAGAATTACACAAGATACAAAGCAGAGGCTA